GCCGCCAGCAGCTGCAGTGGGCACAGTCGGAGGTAGGGTTGCCAGGTGTCCGGTATTGGCCTAGACAGTCTGGTATTTGCGGCCTCTGTCCAGTAAAAAAAAACAGACAATACTGGACATGTAAAATGTCCGGTATTTTCTGTTTTTCTCAGATGGAAGGCCACTTGGGACATTCTCCCCCACTCCTCCTGCCTCATCTGGCGGGGGAGGAGAGAGAGGTGAGTGTGGGATTTTTAAGGCACAGTGCTTCTTTCTTTTGTGCCTTTTTTTCTTGCTCTACAAATTTGGTCCCCTGTTTTTTGTAGTTATTGTTTTTTCTCAACCAATTTTTTCCCTGCCATGTTTGGTATTTTTTTCTAAAGAATCTGGCAACCCTAGCTGCCGGCCTACTACCCCCGCCAGCCTGACCACGGAAGCCATCACGGGCCTCTTGCCGCCAGCCCCTCCCCCACCGGCCTGACCATAGGAGCTGTCATAGACCTCTTGCCTCCACCCCCACCTTCCATCACCCCCCCCCAGCCTGACCACAGGAGACATCATAGGCCTCTTGCCGCCGCCCCTCCTCCGGCCTGACTGGGGGAGCCATCACAAGTAAGCCTCAGCTCGTGGAGGGGGGGGAACTGGTTTCGCGGCGCTGTAGGTAAGAGCACACCACAAGCAGACCTCCGTTCTGCCATAGGCATCACACTAGATTTACGACCAAAAAGACAAAAATTAAAATTTTTTTTTTTTTAAAAAGACCATCTTTCTAAAAGCGCTCCAAAAGACTAAAGAAAAGAACAAAGTGCACCAAAAAGTCAAAAATAAAGTTTTAAGCTAGCAATGTAGGAGAAAGATTGGATGGCTAAGTGGGATTCAAGGTAGTCACTGTTAGCCATCCAATCTTTCTCCTACATTGCTAGCTTAAACTTTATTTTTGACTTTTTGATGCACTTTTAGAAAGATTGTCTTTTTTTAAAAAAGTATGTATTTTTAAAATTCTAATTAAGGATTGAAGGGTGTTGAAAACCAGACTGTACGAAGCCCTGGGACATAATGTCCAGGGAGTAATCCTACAGTGGGCCCCAGAGAAGAATAGGGCAGATGGGATCTGATGTTGGGTGTCTTGATCTCTGGTGGAACAATCCACAGGGAACAGTCTGTAGGGGATTTCAGCCGCATGGGACTCAATAGCAGCTTTACATCTGTAGTATCTTTCATGATCCAACACTAACTAGTGTTTATATATCATGATAAGTATGGGATTGGTGGATGAGTAGGTATGTACTGTGACAGATAGACGCAGATCAGTATACAGGCGCCTCAAAGAGGGAGCCAGAAGATGAAACTGACTTACTTTTGTGATATTGCATGTACCACTGGGCATCAGTCGCTTCTGAGTGACATTTTCAAAGGCTGTTTGAATGGCTGCCATTAGCTCTGAAGTATCTGCAACCTGCACACATTAATAGAATCCAGTCATCTGGGGAAAGCTGCTTGGGATTCTTGAGAGCTCTCCTTTGAAAAGTTCTCATGATTCCACGGTTTGCCAGAGACATTAAGCTATGTCTGCCCTTACAAGCACTATTATAGCACTTCATCTAGTGATGATGCTTTCATCCCTCTGCTGAGGGGGAGCAGAATTCTTGGGAGAGCAATGGAGCCTCAAGAGTTGCCTCCAAATCTAGAGAACACAGTAGACAGCAAATTCTCTGCCACCTGGCACATCTCTCCAAAAACCATGGCATCACAACACTAACATCACAGCATTTCTTCAAATACTAAAAACTTGCTCAGAGGTAATAAAAAATACTTGTAGACTGTGAGGAGTCCTGTGGCACCTTAGAGACTAACAGATTTATTAGGGCGTAAGATTTCTTCCAAGTAAAGCTTACATCCTAATAAATCTGTTAGGGTATGTCTACAATAGTTCGGTAACTCGAGTTAGGTAGGCAAATCAGGGAACCGGAGTTGCAAATGAAGCCCGGGATTTAAATATCCTGGGCTTTATTTGCATGTTCCCGTCTGGCCGCCATTTTTAAATCCCCCTTACTCTGAACGAACTGCCCGCGGCTACACGTGGATGTTTAAAGTTAATCTCTGAGACTTTGAAAGACTGTGTGATAACGCTATCTGGGGACTCCTCTCATGACATTATTATTAGGGCCCTAGAAAAGTCATGGTCCATTTTGGTCAATTTCAGTCATAGGATTTTTTTAAACTGTAAATTTAATTATTTCAGCTATTTAAATCTGAAACTTCATAGTGTTAGAATTGTAGGGATTCTAACCCAAAAAATAGTTGTGGGGCAGTTGCAATATTATTGTGTGTGTATGTGTATGTGAGGGGTTGCAGTACTGCAACCCTTACTTCTGTGCTGCTGCTGGTAACAGCTCTGTCTAAGCAGTCAAATAGTGGTGGCTGCTGCCCAGAACCCCAGATCTGAAGGCAGAGCTGCCCCAGCAGCAGCGCAGAAGTAAGGATGGCACGGTATGGTATTGCCACTCTTACTTCTGAGCTGCTGCTTGTAGAACTGGGTCCTCAGTCAGCAGCTCCCACTCTCGGGCTGCACAGCTCTGAAGGCAGCAGCACCAAAGTAAAGTTGGCATGGTAAGGAAGTGCTACACTTTCTTCTGACTTCTGCACTGCTGCTGGTAGAGACAACTGCCTTGACAACTGCTACTCTCTGGCTCCACAGCTCTGAAGATAGCACTGAAGGAAGGGTGGCAATATTGTGACCCTTCCCCAAATAAACTTGTCACCCTCCTGCAACTCCCTTTTGGCTTACAACCCTCAATTTAAGAAATGCTGGTCTGTACAGTATAGGATAAAAGCACACAAAAGACCAGATTTCATGGGGAAGAGATCAAATTTCACAGTCTGTGATGCTTTTTTCATGACCATGAATTTTATAGGGCCCTAAATAGTAATATTATAGTTGTCCCTGAAGGCTACCACTTCCATTAACATCTAATGGGGATTGGAAAGACCCAACTGAAATCAGGATATCATTATGCCAGATGCAACACAGACTCTGACTAAGACTGGGGCTCCTGTCCTGCCAGGAGCTGCCCTGACCCCAGGTAAGACTGGGGCCCCCTTTATGTCAGGCACTGCATAGACACATAATGAGAGAAAGTGCCTTTCTTGAAGTGCTCACAATCTAAACAGACAAAAGGTTGGAAGGGCAGCCAAGGAGGGAGGAAGGGACTTGCTCAAGATCACCCAGCAAGTCAGTGGCTGAGCCATAAGAGTCCAGTAGCCCTGAATTTCAGTTGAGTCAGGGTAGCTGATCACTGGATCATGCTGCCCCTCATCAAGAATTATAACAGCATCTGAAAAAAAGTCACCACATACAATAGTTACCTGCAGACTCTGCAGACATTCCCTTCTGAATTGGCTGTTAGTGCTGCTGGACACCACGTTGGAAATGGCACCTAGTATGACGGGCAGGGACAGCTTCAACCTCTGCTGGTTCTGGGGAGGGCCAAGGGAATTTTACTGCATATTTCCATTCCCATCAACACTCCTCCATCTGGCCATCAAGGGACGGGGCAGAAAACCAAGGTGAATTCTGTGGTGGTGAGGAAGCTAAGGGGGGCAGAATGGGATGGTCTTACTGGAATTTGCTCAGCTCCTAAGGGGATCAGCCTGACATCTAGGAAAACCCTGCCATCTAGTGGGTTCAGGTCTCTTTTACATGGTGTCATCTACAGCATTCCCCTGCCCAGCCCTAGAGAACTGGGATTGGGACTAATCCCAAAAGGACAGCACCTCTTACTGAGTGCAACAGCTCTCACTGACTCAGGAGGAGCGGCTCCTGAGTCACCCACCCCACTTCTTGTGGAACCTGAAGTTTTGTGCAGACATTTAAATCCCACGCTGCTGTGTTGGCAAAATCTCCTGGGAGCACAGTTCACAGGAGTCTGGCTGCAGGATATGTGGTGAAGCTAGTAATAAAACAATGAGAATATAAAGAGCAGGAAGAGCCAAACTCACAACAGCAGGCTTAGAGAGGACTGAGAGGGGAGCCCTGATAGACGAGCTTACCCTGCAGTCTCAAATCCCTGGATTCTGTGCTGCCTAATACACATACCAGAACGAACTCCTACCTTTCTTCTCTTGCAGTGCTCTTCTAGTACTGTATCAATGACAGCCTGGGCTCCACACTTCACTGCCTGCTGGCTGCACAGGAGAATCTGATCCAGATGGGATGCAATCATGCGCCGTGCCCCTGAGTCACAACAGATCAGGGTTCGTTTCTATTTGATTTGTTTCACTTAGGGAAGAGTCATTTTTATGCAATGATGATCCAAGGAGCCAAAAACTATGTCAAATTCCAAAGGTAAATCCATTATTATTTATGTTGCAGGGTTGCCCAGAGGATCCAACCATGACCAGGTCCCCATTGTATCAGATGCTGCACCCAACCTGAGGTCCTGTCCCTCCAGGTGCTGCACAAGGCCCGCAACAGCAACAGGGCTCTCTCATGTTCTCTGTAGCATAGTGCCTAATAGCACTTCTCTATGGTCTGTGTAGCATCCACCATGCTGGTGACTCCCATGTCTTTTGGAGTCTGTGCAGTGCCTGCCTTGGCTGGGGCCCTACCTCAGAAGGGTCTGTGCAGCACCTGGCACCCTGGGACACTGATCTCAGTCAAGGTCTGTGCAGATCTTGACACAACAGAGTCCCTGATCTTGGTTGGAGCTCTAGGAACTAATACTAAAATACAACTCTGCCATTTTGGTTTCCAGCCTCTAGGGGGAGACAAGCCCACACATTGGACTGGCACGTTACCTTAGAAAACAGTCAAGGGATTTTACACATACAGAAATCATAAGAGGGCTTATCTTGAAACTGGTCCGAGTAGTGGAGAAAGAGGAAGAGCAACAGGGTCTGTTCCCAAGTGTCTGGATCATCTTCTTGGCTTCCACGGTCCCAGTGAAGTTTATATCTGACGTCTGGGCTCACTTGATCTGTGGGGGCAATAGAATATCAAGCAGCATATTGATACAAAGAAATATGGCCAATGCTGCCATCTTTAACCAGGCAAGTGGCTTCATGATGTCAGTGTTGCAGGGTGGCACTTAGCACCCATGATTTCCCACAGCTGAGATCCTACTTTGGCTGTACTGTGGTAGTGCCAGTAGGCCAGCACCCCCATTCTGCTGAGCGCTGTCCAAACATAAAGAGATAGTCCTTGCCTCAAAGAGCTAAGAGTCTATAGCCAGGTCTACACTCTGCTTTCCTCCTGCTAAAAGCAATGCCAAGGTGTGATTTTTTAAAACAGATCTAGTCATACTGTGACAGCTCCTAGTGTGACTGCAGTTATACCACGATAAAGGTGCCTTATCCTGGTACAATTTAGGGAATAGCTATCCTGGCCTAAAGCACATTTGTGCCAGCATAACTGTGTCCACATTAGGGGACTGCTCCACTTTAGCCACCTAGGCACAGTTAAAGCAGCACAACTTGGATGAGCAGATAGAGCCTTAATGTTAGATTATAGGCCCCAGCAGAATTAAACTACCACACAGAAAGAGCAGAGGGAACCAATCAAATGTTTCCAATCTGCACACTCAGCTCACCAGCTGCAGAGCCCTGGGGAATGTTTTGCAGTGTACAGCAAAGGGGACCGAACAGGTGGAAGGACAGCAAGGTGGCTTTGAGGATGTTCATAGGTGATTCCCACCAAAGGCAGAATGGGGGAAGTGCCAAAGTGCATGCTGGGAAATGTTTCAAGTGGGCGATGATGACTTGCATGGTTTCCTCAGCATGTTAGGAGAGGGGCATTTAGGAAAATCCTCTAGACGTGAAAGTAAGGGGATGCGCCCCGGTGTGCAGCTCCGGTAAGAGTGGGCTGCACTTTGGCAAGAGCCAGTTGGGGCGCCCTCCTCTGAAGGAAGCAGGCAAGCAATTTAAAGGGGCCAACAGGGAGCATGCTGTAAGGGAGGTGCACACACTCCTAAGCAGGCTGCTGGGAGGGGATCCCATCTGGCCACAGTGCCCGGCCCCACTCCTGCCAGGGAGGAGGAGCGGGGTGCAGAATCAGCCCATCCAGCTGGGCTGCAGAAACACAGCCCCAGCTTGGTTTGCTGCAGAAGGGGCTGGTGGCAGCCCTACTCCTCTGGGAGGGGGAGAGATGTGGCAGAATTGGCCTCTGTTTAGCCATGGTTGTGGCCACAGCTGCGGCAGCCTGGCCCCAGCCCCAATTCTGGGGCAGGCCCATGGTCTGGCTCCCATGTGGCCAAGGCCCCACTCCTGCTGCAATGGCCTGGCCCCAGCTTCATGCCTGCTGGGCCCTGGGGTAGGCGCTGCAGCCATGGCTACAGTCACCTGGCTCTGGAATAAGCCCTGGTCTGCTCCCCATCTGCTGTGGGAGTAACTGGTGGCAGCCCCATATGGCCATGGTGGCCTGACCCAGGCCCGCTTCTGTGTGGTGCAGGTAGGAAGAGATGAGGAATTGGCTGCAGTGGCTTGGCCTGGGCCAGGTAAGTTAACTCACTACCTCCACCACAACCTCTTACCTCCTGCATCCCCCTACACCCCAACCCCAAGGGCACCATTTTGGGTGCATAGGAAGGGCAGCAGTTGTACACTCCAGGTTGCGGCTAGCTTTTCACTTCCCTTCACCAGCCAGGTGTAAGAGGAATGCCCTAAGGATGTTAAATATCGGTTAATTTACTAGTCAAGTAGTCGATGGAATTTCCACATTCCTTCTCTGAAACGTACAAGAGCCCCAGCGGGGGCTTTTGTGCATTTCATAGTTAGAACTTCATGTGCAGCCCGGGCCAGCGGAAAGTCCTGCTGACTCTGGCTTGTCGTGCTTTGAGTGATCCCGGATAGCACGCAGCGCGCCAGCTTTGAAATGTACAAGAGTCCCCAGCTGCGGCATTTCAAAGTGGCAGTGCCGCACTGAGCCTGGGATCAGCTGTGTGGCGCTGCCCCTTCAAAACGCCACCACAGCATTTGAAGGGCTCCATGCAGCACTGCCACTTTGAAGTACTCTCTCTTTCCCCCCTCTTTGCTGCCTCTATCTGTCAAAGGCAGCAAAGGGGGTGGGGGAAGCGATTAGTCGATTGGACTATCTGATAAATAGTTGCTTATTGCAGGGCTACTGTTTGCTTGCGGCCCGCAGTGTGGTTTGGGTTTACATGGGGCTCAACATGCGACTCATGGGTGAGAGCCAAAACAAAAAAGTAGTCAATATAATGGACTTCTGTAGCTATGCATTTTAGCAGTTAAATTCCTGGACTGTCATTGCTCATTAAAAGTGCTGTCATATGGGTGAAAATTGGATAAATATTGCATATCATTAATATCAGCAGAACGGACTTAAATGGGGCCTGCATGTTGTATAGTCTTGCCTCATGGCTGGGCTTACCCTGAGGCGAACTGAGGCGGCCACCTCAGGTGCCAGACTGTAGGGGGGCACCTCTAGGACCCAGAGTGTAGAAAATTGTGTCTGTTGGTGGTGCATATGTATTCTCTCTGCAGTACCATGAGAGAAGTAGAACAGGAAAAAGGCAGAATTGAGACCTTTCAAAGTTTTGGCCCAAGTGAGGGGCTATGGGGGTGTCATTTGGGCTCCCCGCCTCAGGTGCCAAAAGTGTCTTGCCTTAACCTTTGTATTCATGCCCGTCAGTGTGAAAGAAGCTATTTGCATATATTTGCATATATATTTGCATGTATATGTAGCCACATTTAAGTTGTGGCCCTCAGCATGTGCTATGAGTATCACTGTGGTCCCCAGGGTTTCCAAAGTTGAATAGGCTTGGCTTATCAGATAGTTGACTAATCCTTAACATCCTTAGAATGCACAGAATGCAAGCACTTTCTCCTCACTCCCTTAGCATCCAGGGAATGGGATGAAAAGCTAGCTGCGTCCCGGAGCACAGGTTGCTTCCCCCACTATGCAACAAAATGGCGCCCTTGCCCAATCCCCTGTCCTGAGCCCTTCATGCACTCCAGCCCTGACTCCTGCATCTTCCCCATACATAGCTCAGCATCCTGCAACCCCATCATCCATCTGCTCTGAGCCCCCCACACTCCACCCCACACTTAAATTTCTTACAGGTACTGCTGTATTGCAACACCCCTCAATGATCAGGGGTTATGATCAGGGCCGGCGTTAGGCCGATTCGTCCAATTCCCCCAAATCGAGCCCCGCGCCCTGAACCCGGAAGCATGGGCAGCGAGTTATATGGGCTTGTGGTGCCTGTGCTGCTCCAATATTCAGAGCCGGGGGCCCTGCTCCACCAATATGTGGAGCTGGGTCTCTCCCCCGGCCCTGCCTGGAGTGGGCCCCAGTCCCCTTGTGCAGCCTCCCACCCCGGCCCCAGCCCATCCATGCCATGTGCAGCTTTAAGTCTGGCTCCCCCTCGCTGGGGCACGCTACCATGTGCGGAGTTCCCAGGTGAGCAGGGATATGCCTGGGCGTGATGTGATGTCACAGCCCAGGACTTTAAAACTGCTTGGTGCCACGTTGTGCCACACGGCCTAGCTCCGGGTTCGGAGTCCGGGGACTTCTAGGGCCCAAGCGCAGCCTCTGGCCCCGCAAAGTGGAAGGCAGAAGGTAAGGTAAGAGGAGGAGGAGGGGGAGGAAGGGGCCTGTGAGGAGGGGGAAAGGGCAGATAGGGGAAGGGGCTTGTGTGGAAGGGGAGGGGGAATATAGGGAAGTGGTAGGAGAGGAAGGGGCTTGTGTGGAGGGGGAGGGGGAAGAAAGGGGAAAGCACCAAGAGACAGGGTTGAGGAGAGACAAATGCCAGGGGGCCAAGTGCAGACAATGAAGGAAAGGGCAGGAAGGGAGGTGTCAGTGGGAGGGGGGACAGAGTGATGCTGTGAGAGAAGAGGGTAAGGGCATTGGGAGCTAGAGGGGGGAGGGGAGGTGCTGGGAGAAGGCTTGAAAGAAGGGGTGGACATGATAAAGGTGGGGATGGAACAAGTTGTGTGAGGGCACAGAGGGGCATGAGGAGAATGGGGGCAGAGAGTGGTGAGGGGGTGGGCATCAGGGAAAAAGAGGGCAAAGGGGGCAGGGGCAGTGAGGGAAGGGGGAGGCACCAGGAGGGTGCAGGGCTAAGGGAAGGTGCAGGTGCAGGTGCAGGTGCCAGGGAATTCTGGGGTGAAGCAGGAGGGCAGACACCTGCAGGGGAGGGACCAGCACCAGAGGAGAGAGGCAGGGCAGGTATGTAGAGGGAGATGTTAGAAGAGGGGATGAGGAGGGATAGCTCACATGATCAGAGTGGGGCTACTGGAGGAGTGGGCACAGGGGGCAGAGAAGGGCTGGTGGAGGGCAGCAGGTCACAGGAAGCTGTGAGAGAAGAGGGTAAGGGCATTGGGAGCTAGAGGGGGGAGGGGAGGTGCTGGGAGAAGGCTTGAAAGAAGGGGTGGACATGATAAAGGTGGGGATGGAACAAGTTGTGTGAGGGCACAGAGGGGCATGAGGAGAATGGGGGCAGAGAGTGGTGAGGGGGTGGGCATCAGGGAAAAAGAGGGCAAAGGGGGCAGGGGCAGTGAGGGAAGGGGGAGGCACCAGGAGGGTGCAGGGCTAAGGGAAGGTGCAGGTGCAGGTGCAGGTGCCAGGGAATTCTGGGGTGAAGCAGGAGGGCAGACACCTGCAGGGGAGGGACCAGCACCAGAGGAGAGAGGCAGGGCAGGTGTGTAGAGGGAGATGTTAGAAGAGGGGATGAGGAGGGATAGCTCACATGATCAGAGTGGGGCTACTGGAGGAGTGGGCACAGGGGGCAGAGAAGGGCTGGTGGAGGGCAGCAGGTCACAGGAAGGCTGAGGGCAGTGACGCTTCTCACTTCCCCTCACCCTGCCAGACTTCCATCCAGGACGAACAGAAAATACCGGACATTTTACATGTCCGGTATTTTCTGTTTTTTTACTGCTTGTGCAATAAATCTTGTGCAAGAACACGTCCCCACTGCCATGTGTGAGCTGTGCTTTTGTGCAAGAGCATCCATGGCAGCGTGGACGCTCTCTTGCGCAAGAAAGCTCTGATGGCCATTTTAGCCATCCACACTGCCCTCTTGCGCAAGAGAGCTTACACCTGTTAGAAAAGAGCGTAGTTCTTGTGCAAGAAAAGATAAAGGTATATAAAATATTTATTAATAACTTGGGTGCCACAGTGGCACATCCAAACAGATCATATGAACTCAGTACTGGTGCACAACACAATTCATTCTGCTCATGGGAGGAAACCCTTAGGCTATGTCTACACTGGTGGTTTCTTGCGCAAGAACATTTTGTGCAAGGGTGCTTGTGCAATAAATCTTGTGCAAGAACACGTCCCCACTGCCATGTGTGAGCTGTGCTTTTGTGCAAGAGCATCCATGGCAGCGTGGACGCTCTCTTGCGCAAGAAAGCTCTGATGGCCATTTTAGCCATCCACACTGCCCTCTTGCGCAAGAGAGCTTACACCTGTTAGAAAAGAGCGTAGTTCTTGTGCAAGACACCCTCTCTTACCACGCTGTACTGTAAGAGCAGGCAGACAGTGTGGATATTCTGTACGGCTGTACTTGCGCAAGAAGCCGTGAGAGTAGACATAGCCTTAGAGGGAACATTTCCCGCAGCCTCTCCGCCTCCGAGTTAATGTCACACACATTGGGTTAATGTAATTGCGGGATGGTTGCATGAGGGGGGTTTGGTGGGGGCCAAACTAATCCCTGTTGGTAGGAGGATGGTGGGAAAAGTCCTTAAAGAGGGATGACATGACACCTTTTACTTCTGGTCATGTGTCCATCTTGCCCTGAGCATGTTACCTCCAGAGGCATGGTTAATGGGAGTCAGGGGGTGTGGCTAATGGGGGTCAGGGCATGGTTAACAGGGATCAGGGTGTGGCTAATGGGGTACCACCAAAAATTATACAAACCTGCCACCCCTGTCCGGAAGTGTGCCGGGCGCACTGCAGGAGGAGGCGTCAGCCCCGGAGGAGGAGTGCGGCAGTTGCCTGCACTGCAGAAGGTGTGAGTTTAGCACAGGGTTTCCCTGCACCATGGGGCAGGGGGTGTTAGCTACCTCCGGGGCTTTGCGGGGGAGGTAGCTGGGGATTTTTTGTGTGCGGTATTTTTTTTTGTTTTTGCTCAACCAAAAAAATTTCTGGGCCTCCTGTTGAAACTTTTGTGTGTGGTGTGTGGGGTGGGGTGGGGGGGTTGGCCCAACCAAAATTGCTGTGCGGCCCCGTCGAAATTGTTCGAATTGGGCCCCACACTTTCTAAAGCCGGCCCTGGTTATGATAGTACAGTACCTGTACGAAATTTGTTATTTTCACTCCTATCTGGTACTCATTTAGGTACCTAAAAGAACTTTGGGATCTTGCTGCCAGGTGGGCTTCTCAGTGGTACAAAATAGCATGATGGAGAAAGAAGGGCTCTAATAATGGTCACTGGGTATTTTTGCTGTTTAGTAGCATAATGCTACCTGGAGGCACTATTGAAGATCTGGGACCCATCATGCTGGGTGTTTCACATACCCCTACTGAGACTATGTTCCTTGTCATGCCAGGCCCCACACAGATACACAAAAAAGAGTCCCTGCCCCCCAAAAGGACAGGGGAACCAGAGCCAGCAGGAGGAAAGAGACTTGCCCAAGGTCCACAGCAGGAGACAGGAATCCTGAGTCCCATTCTTGTGCCTGCTTCTCTAGGCCCTCCACTTCACTCCCTAGCATTCATTGCCCCTTGAGAGTATGTCTGTCTGCAACAAAGTCCTGCAGCAGTAAGTCTGAGTCCAGGTCACCTGCCCAAGTTTGTGGTAAGGGGCCAAAACTAGTGTAGACTGACTCAGGTGAGATCTGCCCCATCACCAAGTTTTGCAGACCAAGTCTGAACAGCTGCACTGCTATTTTTAGCTCTGTGGTGCAAGCCCCACAAGCTCCAGTCAATTGAGCCATGATCTGAGACTTGCTGCCATAGGAGGTTTTTTTTGCAGTTTAGATGCATCTTCCATCTCTTCTCTTTCTTTACCACTGGCCATCCTGCTAAACTGACATAACACTATTGGAGTCAGCTGGGTCAGATTTTGCCACAAAATCACGAGTTCAAGTCTGTGTGGATCTTTTGTGACAAGTCAGAAAGGGCATGGCTGGATTTTCACATGCTTGTCCTGTTGGCAGCAGACAAATTCTGATTTGTCTTGAGATCTGCACCAACCATGCTGGGAAGCTCTTACTATGCATATGTATAACACTCAGCATGAAGAGAAGCTCATTCTCAATTGGGATCTGTGAAGCACCCAGGGCAACAGTTGGGGATCTTTAGATTCTGAGAAGGCTGCAAGCTCTACACTATAGCACCTTCTTCCTGTCCTGGATCGGAGTCCAGTGTTGCGCTATAGTTGTATTTCTCCCATTCTGCTAAGTTTGATGGGTCACTGAAGAACAAAGATGATTTCCCCTTTCCATAGAATGATATGGGCAGCCCTGTGGGGTCATAGAAAAATATGTATTGCTGGATAAGGAAAAAAACAATGTGAGGCTTAAAGGCAAAGAAATATGAGTGCAACAAACATGCTTTCCTCTCCTGCAAGTCAGAATCTCTAGCATTCAATACTCTCTTGCAGTGTACGTTGGAGGCTTCCCCTTATAAAGATGTATACTTTCCCGCTGATTTTTCAGTCTCAGTATTCTTAGGTGCTACAAGGTACTAGGGACATTAAATACTGATTAATTGAATAGTCAAGTAACCTCACAAATTCTTATTGGTTGTCAACTACAGGGCGTCCCCGCTACACATCCAAGATACATTAAAAAAATGTGGATGTATAGTGAAAAGATATAAAGCAGGGAATTTTTTTCCCATGGCTGATATCTATTTGCATGAATTGGTCTTTTTTTTTTTTTTTTTTTTGCACAACAGAAGAGCAGGGAACGGGAGGATTTAAAACAGAATACCGTATATTCCGGCGTACAAGACGACCTCTGATGTTAAAAAACATCCCCCAAAAATCGGGGGTCGTCTTGTACGCCGGGTATACATCCCAGGCGTGCCTGGGATGCCCCGCCGCCGGCTTCCCCCGAGGCTTTGCAAAGCCGTGGAGGGGCTCCCCCCGAGCCTGACTGCATGACTGCATTTCTGCCCGACCTCCCAAATCTTCCCTCCAGGTTTCCCTGGTTCCT